CCGCCGGCACCCCACGCCCGCCCGGACGGCCGCCTGCGCTGGCCCGGACCCGCGGGCGATGCCGGCACCCTCGCCCGCCTGTTCTCCCGCGTAGCGGCGTTGGGAGCGTGTCCTTCGGCGTGGTGTGCCCGGGCAGCTAGACACATCGCTGTGCTGCTGCTGCTTCGGGCGGGGACCCCGTGTTCCTTCCTATTGTCTCCCCTTCCCTCCGTGATGGGAGGCCTTCGCCCTGAGCTGCGTCCCCGGACCTTTTTTATCTTGAGACAGAGAGACTCAGTAAGTTGCCTAAACTGGGCTTGCAGTCGTGATCCTCCTGCCTCAGCCTTCCAGAGTGCTGACCTTACAGGCGCGCGCCGCCTGATTATCTAAGCAGAGAATTTGTGTAGCGATCTAACTAGAGGGACTGGGGCGGGGGGGTGGACTCCAGACCCCTCTGGGTTTAATCTGGACGTTCCTGGTTCCTGCTGAACCCCCATTCCTGTCCCCCGCCCCCCCCGGGAAGGCTCCGCAGGCTGTGGTGAGTCAGGGCAGAGGATGCCAGGTGTCTGTGTTAGGTTTCGCTCTGTCCTGGAGGTGAGACTAGGAAGAGGGGAACTTGCCAATGGCACAAGACCAAGCTGGTCCCGACGGGAAGCGGTGCCCGCTAGGTATGCTGTGGGCATTTCCGGGGGGCATTGGGGACGGCTTGCATTTGGGGGCCAGCGAGGAGTAGGACACACGGTCGTGCCCAGCCGGGGTCCTTGTGTTCACCTGCTGTGCCTGTGGAGGCTGATGATCTTCTCCAAGGCCCCACGGTCATTTCGCTTTTGAGTCATTTGTCAGGAAGTGACTCCGGGGAGGTCGTTAAAAGGAAAAGTAGAGAGAAATGGAAGAATCTGTCATCTCGCGTCCTGGGCTGCAGCTGGATTTATGTGTGTGGTGCTGAGAGCAGAGCTGTGGGCTGCTGTGTGCTCCGCACCGGCGGCAGCGTCTGCAGCCCAGTGGGCCTTAATGGCATCTTAAACCTGCGGGCAGGAAGGAGGAATGACCTGCACTGGGGCTGCATCTGCCTGAAAGCAGGCTCTGTTCTCCCATCTGTCAGGTTGAGGGAGGCGGACAGCTTAGGGTGAGGACTGTGTTACTTAGTGGGTGGTTGTAGGCAGTCAGTCACATTCGCTGATTAATTCTTCATTGTCTGAGCTGACTTTGGCTGGGGACCCTGAGTTCAGGGATCTGCTAGAGAGGGATGTTGGCGTAGGGATTTGGGGCCCTCACCTGAGTGTGCAGGGAGCACCAGGGATAGAGGCAGCCAGTGTTGCTGAAGGGACGCAGGAGGAGACAGGTAGCTAAGGCCTCTGGACTAAGAGAAGTTGAGAAAGCCGCCACACAGCCCAGATCCCAGGCCTCAGGCAGCTGCCTTTCCTCCTACACCCACGCCTCTCCCAGGGCCGGCTCAGGTGGATGGTGGTTCCAGGCCCAGGTGAGGTCCAGGAGAATGCAAGGGAGGTTTGCACTCGGCTGAGGTGGCCCAGCCTGCACCACCTGTCCACTTTTGCAGGAGGCTGGATGGCTTCTGAATGCAGCCTCTATTCTCAGTGGGCCCTGGGAGAGCCCACCTGCTCATGCCAGGACTGTGCCATTGCCCGAGCCCTTCGTCCTTCTGTACCAACTGACAGGGTGGGTGTGGCCTGGCAGGGGTGGGGTGGGGTGGGGCAGAGCTGGCACAAGCTGCAGAGTGGCCAGACTCAAATGAATTGGCTGATTGAGCTGCTGGTTTTCATCTAATGTGGTAAATTTCATAATTGAATTGCCTCAGCTGCTCGAGGCGTTGAAGCATTTTCCCAGCCAGGAAACACTCGCTTGGGACGAGTAGGCTGAGGGGTCAGGTCTTCTGAGGGAACTTGTGCATCTCCAGGTGAAGGAAGTCGGCAGCCTGTGCAGGCCTCAGCCCCTCTGCTAGACCACCTCTTCCCTGAGCAGCGCTGTCCCCCAAGTGGTTCTGAAGGGCTCTGGAGCTGATGGGGGTTGGCTTCTAGCCGTCGCCTGGCTAGACTGACTCCAGGTCCCTGGAGGCATTAGGAGCTGGGAGCAAATGCTGTGGATTTGAAGGGTGGAGAGGGGCCCTGGGATGGAAAGGGCTCCCTGTTATGTCCCTACAGCCCTGGCTTGGTGGAAGGAACTTCAGTTTTGGACCCAGACTGGGGCTCAAGTGCTGCCAGTGGTCTGTGACGGAACTCAACCCCACTGAAGCTTCCTGGTCATGTGGGCGACATTATGAAGATGAAGTACCTTACTGCATAGAATCCCCTGGAGTGGTGTCTGACACCAAGTGGACGTGGGTCATGCCCTGCCCGTCTTAGACCCTTTCTCCGTCCTCTGGGAATCGAAGTCTTTTGCTGGCTTGTGGCCTTCTCCTGGATCCCCAGCCACGTCGCACCCCACCCACCCGTTCCTCTCTACCTCTTTCTGCTGATCCTTCTTTCCAAGCCCTGTCTTGTGCTCTGTGGGATGACAAAGGGTGGGCATGTGTGGCTTCTTGACTTGTTTGTTAAAAGTGGAAGCTCTGTGGTCTCAGGAAGCCCACTCACTTGGAAATGATACCATATTTTCTGCAAACACATACATAAAAACCTTGCCGACCATTCATTTTTATTTTTATTCTGTTTATTTTTTATTTTGGGGTGCTACTGGGATTAAATCCAGGGCTTTTCTACTGAGCTACATTCCCCAGCTCTTTGTATCTTTTTTTCTTAAATTTTTTTGAGGGAGGGTCTCACTAAGTTGCTAAATTTCCGAGGCTGAGCTTGAGTTCACAATCCTCTTGTCTGAGCCTGCTAGAGTGCTGGGAATACAGGCAGGAGCCGGCACACCCCACTTCCCCGGCCATTCTTCCCCCCACTGTGGCTTCCCGCAACCCAAGTTGGAGACAGTGTCTGTGAGGCTAGCGCATGCCACCCTGTTTATCGTGCAGCTGAGGTCTGAGGCCCAGTCCGCCCCTCACCATCCTGCAGTTGATTCCTGAGACCTGGAAGCTGCTGGCAGAAAGCGCAGTTGGGGTGGGACCCTGCCTGGCTGTGTGGCTGTGCAGGTCCCTCAGTCTGTGGGCTCAGTTCCCTGCTGTTTGCCGAGGTTGCCCTGAGTGTTTCACCGTAAGACCTCAGCGCTTCTCACAGGCTCTGCTGTGAAGGTCCAGCGGCCGTACTCAGTGGGAGCCGTGAAGTCAGAACTTAGGAGCTGGGTGGGCTCTAGGTCCAGCCCTGTTACTTGCCTGAATGGGCCCTCATTTCTCCACCTCTAGGAGGAGACAGGTGCAGTAGGCTCCAGTGTCCTTTCTTATCTTGATGTACAGAGACTGAGGCAAAGTTTCCCAGTAACTGCAGAGGGCTTTTCTCTCCCAGCCTCCCTCTGTTCCCTGACTCCGGCCTCAGAGTCTGGGGCCCCGTGTGCCCGAGGCTGAGGGGTGGTGAAGCCTGAGGACTGGGTCAGGGAGGTGCTGGTCTGGGACCAGGAGGAACAGACATAGGCTCGAAGGAAGGTGACGTGTGGGTGACTCATGTCCCAAGGTGTCTGGCTGGGCAGCAAGTGTGGGAGTGCCCAGTGACCCCCCCCCCCAGTGCATGGCACGAGACTTAGCCTGCCGGCTGTCCCCCGGGCACAGAGCCAGGGCCACCTCCTAGAAGAGAGATGGAGAAATGGACAAAGCCCCAAGGAGCAAGAGGGATTACGGGGGTGGGGTAGGGGGGTGCAGAGCACCAGGCTTTTGCAGGGAGGCTCCTGCAGGACCAGTTGGATGGGTCCGCCCGCTGAGCAGGCCGTGGGAGAGCTGCGGCTGCTGCTGCCCGCCTGGCCTGCTCACCCAGACCACTGTCACCTTGGGTGTTGCCTGCCGTGTGTCCATGAGTAGGATCCGTGGAGAGGAGGGAAACCAGCCCTGCTTATTTTTTGCCTGTTCCTGTCTGGTCCCCGAGGGAGGTACTGACCGCAGATCAATCTACGTTGAGTGAAATTAATTTCCTAATTAAGATAAGAGAAGGTTTCCTTGTCCAAAGCCCAAGCTGAGCTGCCTGCCAGCTCTGCAGTTGGCCAGGTCTGTTTGGGCAGAAGTGAGGGCCAAGAGTGTTAGAGAGCTTTTTTTCTAGAAAGCATGCAATGCACCCAGGGTCCAGAGTTTAAGTTCTGCTTCACCCTAGCGAGGCCCAGGAGACCAGGGGAAGAGAGTCTGTTGTGAATCTACAGCCTCGGAAATCTGAAGAAGGATATCCCACCCCCTTTATGCACCGTTTATTCAGTGCCTTCTGAATGGCTTGCCTTGGTCTTGACCCTGGAAAAGGAAAGGTCGGGCACCAAGAGGGACCCTAGCGAGGTGCAGCAGCATGCGCCTGTCATACCAGCAGCCTGGGAGGATCACAAGTTCAAGCCCAGCCTGGACAACTTACGGAGAGATGGTTTCAAAATTACAAAAAGGGATAGGGATGTAGTTTAGTGTGCAGATCCTGGGTCCATTCTCTAGTACCAGGCACACTCACAAAAAGAGGGGCCCTACTTGGGAACTCAGTGTCTGCAGGTGAGGCAGACAGGTAGTCAGGTGATCATGGCGTAGTTCTAGAGAGTGGTGTGTAAAGGGAGTCTGCCTTGGTTTCCATACTAAGCAATATAAGGGA